TAGAGAGAGAGAGAGAGAGAGAGGGAGAGAGAGAGAGAGAGGAGAGAGGTGAAATTTTTGGCCTTGGCTTCTCAAGGGACAGATGGCCAAAAATTGTAACCCTATGGCTCCTTTTATAGTTGTCATATGTTAAAGGATAAACCCTAATTTAAATATTAAAATAATTCAATTTAATCTTTATTCGAATTAGTTTCCTTAACTGCAATTGGAGGCTTCAAGAACTCCTTGGAGAGCCTCTTAAAACCTTCCAAGCTAAGGATATTATAGAATTTCTCATTTGCTCAAGTTGTAAGCAATTGAAACTAAACCCTTATACGTTCAATTAATTTAGACTAACCCAAAACTGATTTCTAATTAATTATGATTAATTTTAAGTTAATTCCAATCAATTTCTAATTAATTTATTAATCATATAAAAAATTAATAAATCATTTACTCTCTCTTTTAATATCATTCCTAATTATTTATGGATATAAGGGCAACCCAAAAAGGATTTTGGTTTTATTCATAAAAATATATCAATTTAGTTATGACCTTAGACACCTTAATCCAATATTTTCTTCCGAACCTACTTACATAATCTCTTAGCTATTACTTAATATTTTACGTTATTCTATAGATATCACTTTTTAGTTTCTCAAAGGTTCTACTTCATGAAAATTAGTTATTAAACAAGTTAAAGGTTCTACTTCATGAAAATTAGTTATTAAACAAGTTAATAAGATATGGGAAAGATGTAATAAAATAGGGATGAACATTCAAAAGCCACTTTAATGCAGATCCTGTAAGGTTGAACCAAAACCTTTACACAAACATGTTTCCTTAAGATGTTGAGGTATTGGGAAAATCTCCACGTTTTCTCTTTATTGGGTCACATACTCTTCATGATCTGTAGTTCCATCATACATGTTCATATTAGGCGTTTGAAGCCATTTTGGAAAAATTGATGCAAAATAGTTGTTGGGTGACTTCTTAAGTGTCCTACTTGAGGCTCTTTTCTTTTTCTTTACCATAGTAATGGTGGGAGTTGGAGATCTACTGACCTATTTAGGTTTTCAAGTGGGTGAGGATGATGGAGTACGAGGCTCATGCTCAATTTCAATTTCAGTATGCTAGACAAGGATGTATCTGTCCAAGTATTCTCAATTGTGGCTGAAGTTTAGGAACCTAATGGCTTCTTTTGAATCTAATCTTGCTTATTAAGATTATGTGTAGTCTTCTCAAAATATGTGATAAACTCCAATGGAATACTTATTGTAAGTTATCATAATACCAAACAATTATTATTGTTGTGTTGCCATGAACGATGCCAACTTTTTACTTTCGCCGAACCAACAAATACTAAGGGGTATAAAAATATTCCTAGTTGTATCAATGGATAGTATACCTAAAGAAGGGATCATACACACATAGACGCATAACTATCATAAAATACCTCTTTACATGAAATATATTAGATTGATACAAAAAAAAAACGATTGGAATAAATAGGGGTGGGGTGTTAATTTACTAAATAAAGAAACTAATACATGTGATTTTATAAAGAAAGTAAAGACCAAACTTTAAAGAAAAATCTTATTTTGAGAGAATTCAAGTTCTTTATTCGATTCAACAACATGCAATTGATTGTGAATGACGTTTAGATAACTTTTAACCTAAGTTGGTACTAAGTGATATGTATCACTTTTACTTATATAATTATCTAGTTAAAACAAACGCTTTAAGTAGACCTAATGTTTGTAACCCTAATCTAAATAACCTATTAGTTTTTGAGAGAAAAGTTACATTAAGTTCTTTACAAGTATTCTCAACAATACTCGATACTTCTCGTAAGCTCAAAAGTGTAAAGTATGTGATTTTATGTTTACAATGAATTAAATCTTATGTCAATAACCATCCAATGCTTTTTAGTTGTATCAATTAAAAATACAATTACTCAAATTCGGCTAGTCCATGCGACCGTTCATAAGAAAATAATAAATTCAATCACTTTATTAAAACCAAAACATAAATGACTATGTTGAAATCAAGTATAAAACACCAAATCAATGAAGTACAATGAAGTACACAACACGTAGTCGAATTAAGAACTAGAACCAGAAAAGAGAAGTTTTTACTCGTTCATGGCTTGAAACAATAGTTTAATATGTAATTGATAATTGTTTTTACTAATTAAATGATGCAAATATCGAATAACACCTCCAAAGTGTATTTATCATTATACCGTTGCTCCGAAACATCGTCTTCTAACCTATAAAAATTATGTATATTTGACATAATGACTACGTCAAAAATATATAACTTTCAAAATATATGTACACCAAGTAACACCATGACTCTATCGAGTCAACTCAAAGGGAAAGAGAGACTTGACTGAGTCACTTAACCTGGAGATCCAAAACTCGTATTCTGACTTTCTGACTCGATTCAACCGAGTCAATTTTTCTCTAGTGTGTGACTCGTCGGAGCCACTTCTTTGTCCCAAAGTGTGAATTTTAACTAATGGACTCTACTGAGTCAAATCTAAGGCATATGTTGACTCGGTCGTGTAACATTTTGTAAATGTGTGATCTTTGAAAATTTCATCTTTTGTATGTCAGTTGTATTCTTCATGAAATCTAGACAACTTCCTAGTATTCTCCAAAGCACATTCCAAGCCTCGAATTTCATGAAAACCATCCAAAAAGCCTCCAGTCGAAAGGTCAATAAATTTACCTAAAAGATCCTGAAGTATACATGAGATTTAAAAGAAAAATGTAATGTGAATGTGATGCATAAAATGAATATAACACATGGAATAATTTAGAGTTTTTCTATCCTTTTTGTCATTCTTGATGCAATAATCGTATTTACACCAAATCATTTTGTTTTGGGTACATTCTCGAACTTTCACCACTTCGGCATTCGTATAGATATTTTGTCTGGTAACTCCGGTGGTACTGAGGAAACAATTTCATATGCACATCGCAAATACAACTTAGAGCGTTTGGTTCATAGTATCCGGAGTGATTTTTAGTAAAATATAATTTAATTACTATGATTTATTGCGTTTAGTTCAAAAAATGGAATTAATTTAACTCCTTAAAAAAACCATGAAATACTTTGCATAAGATAATTCAATTTGCCTACATAACATCTAGTAAATTTATTTCTCATCATTTAATCCATGATAAAAAAAATTACACAAATATCCCTAAACCCTAAAAGTATAATTCTTATTAAAAGCATCATTTAATCAACATATAAAATTACACAAATATCCTTAAACCGTATAATTCTATTTAAAATCATCTTTATCACTGGTCCTCTTCTCTACGACTCCAGCAATTTGCTACTCACTAACCGCTGTTCTCATTCTCTAACTTAGATCATTTCAATCTCGTATGTGTACAACCAAAAATCTTTTTAATCTAGTATTATATAATGTTTTTCCGTATGGGCATTGGAATAAGATATTTCTTTTGCTCTGTTAATCTTTTTACACGTACTATGCTTGTAGCCAAGAACATGTGCGCGCGGTTCCAATTGCGTTTCACTGTTTGGTGGAACACGATAACAATATGAAAGTAAGTTTTTTTGGTAGAAACGATGAACAAAAACAATTATAAATGCGCAAATCGGCATAGCGTATATGTCGACATTGTTGAAATTTGAGCTTTTGGCAAAGAATTATTATCCATTTATTTTTGTGCAACCCTGCGGCGAAGCTATTTCCTGCAAAGAGGACCTACCTGGCCATAGGCCCACTTTAGTTTTAATAGATGCATATTGCATTATCGCTAAAGCAAAGTAATTCTAGCCCACAGCATTATGTAATACCAACTTTTAATAATTAGCGATTTAATATAACATTTTTGCAGCTAAATAGTTTATGAAGTGAGCTTTGTAATAACTCAATATGCGACTTTTTTTTTGGGTTTAAGCACTCTCAAAAACAATAAACAATTTCATACCGAAAGTAATATTGCAAAACAAAAATAAGAAGATAATCACTTTAATTGGTTCACATGATCCGAATGATTGGCTATACCTATGAAGAACACGAAAGATAAATTTTATTGTATTTTGCCAAATGGCTTTATGCTATATTAACTTTCAAGAATTTAAGGAATATAAATATTATTAATTAATTTGACCTAACAATGTCAATAATACCAACCAAAAAAACTTTGACAAGACTGGCCCATGATAAAAATAAAGGCAAAACTGATATAGGGACTGCCTATGTTTGGTCAACCAAACGGCTGAAGGTCAAATAGGACACTCTATCACTTAACAATTTTATTTTTACCGAAAAGGTTATATTTGCAAATTGCTTATTTATTCACTTCCTAATAATTTATTGGAATGTTGATTATGACAACCCTAAATACAAATTAATCTCCAACATCAAGTTAATTAAAATCATATTTGGCTAATTTTCTCGAATTTATAAATAACCATGGTGATATTGTGATAATATATTCCACATGAACCGTAATAATATTTATCGTCGGTAGTCTAACAACAAAAATGGAAAAATCTCAGAGTTGGATGAACCCAAGTCCAGAACAAAAACCAGAAATAAGTGGACCATGAATCATGCATATGGGGCCTAAAAGAAACACACTGTTGCTTGCATCACCTTGCTGAACAGTTCAGATGACGATTTTAGTGCGTAAGCTTAGAAAGTTGACACTCGTAATTATAACTTGTGGTCCTCACCTAAAGGGATGTATAGATCGGCACCTCCTACGTACTTCGACTAATGTGCCACAAGGCTTCTATTCTTCTATCATAAGCTTTATAGTTACCTTAAATAAGTTCCAATTAATTTATCATATTAATTCATTTGCATGCAAATATATGGAACCAAAATATTACAAAAAGAAACTGAAAAAAAGGTACCATAAAAGGAACATAAGAAAAAGGTTTAATTACATGGGAACAATTGCCGGTAGCATGCCCTTGTATATATAGTTTGCATACTGTTATGTATAAATGAGTAAAATGACACAATATACGATACTCAAAGGCCAGAAATTTTGAAATGACCTTGAAAAATATAGGTATTGAAATCACAAAAAGGATTATTTGCTTGCATCGAACATGCATTCATTTCATGAAATGAAAATATCACATTAAAAGGGAAGCTTGTGTCAAGAAATGAAAACATCACATTATAAGTTTATCCGTATGTGAAGAGTCCTCCAATGCTCAAGTTGGCATAGCTGCTGATTGGTGGAGCTGCATACTTGGATAACAATGGAGTTTCATGCATTGAACTAGTTTCATCATAGCTAGCGGCATATGCTCTTGCTTCATGAATCTGATACAAAGATTTTTCTTTCATAAATATATATTGATTGAATAATTTCATGAAAATAATCAGAGACTAATTGTGATCATGTCATAAAATTAATAAATTATGATTACCTTCTTGTAGAGTTCGATGTTTTGTTGATGTATCTGGCTCCCCTATACAATGGGAAAATTCTCATTAATACCAATATTTAGTATTCCAACAAAGTTCTAATTTTTGGTTGTTTAAGAATTTTTTTTGCAAGATCTATATTTTAGTCCACAAAATTCCCTTTTTTTGTCAAATCAAAAAGCATTTGAAGCATAGGTTGTTAAGATATGATATTCATTAAATCACTTGTTGACTCATACATTCTAATTAATTGGAAAGTAACATAATGGGTAATTAATTTCATAATATAACAACATAGTTTCTTATTTGTTCCATTTAGATAATGATTTTTTTATACGCATTAATTTATATATATGTTTATAAAAGCACTAGAACAAAGACCTTTCTCGTGAGATCCTCTATCTCATTGGTTAGAATCTCTTCCTGCAAATTATATTAAAGATGGTCTTTTCAGGAAATTTAGACAAAAAGAGAAATCAAAATATATACAAAACTTGTTCAGCAGGATGAAATTAACTTATTCATTAATATATATTTTTTCCAATGAATAAGTTCAAAAAGAAATCATCTCCACGAATGTGTATTCTGGAGTACATTGACCAACTCTTATTAATTACCTTTTTCATTCGAATACCTTGCAAGCTTATTTCCAATTGGTTCTCGAGTTTTTGCAGGTCTTCAACTCCCAAACCACAGAGTTCTTCTCCCATAAGTTGCCTAATGATATCAAAAAGGCCAATCAAACATAAAAAGTTTGTAACACCCAACATAACAAATGGTTTATTAATTTAATTATCATCATAATGTTGGACATGTTTTGTTGCTTTGATTTGTTTACCTATGAGCTTCATGCAGATTCTGCAACTGTTGCTTCAATATTGCGACCTCCATTTGGCAAAACTAACAATCATGCGTTGAGTTAATATATAGACCCATCAAATGTATGAGAAAATTAGCTAAAAAGATGAGTATACTTAATTGCAATAAAAGTATCACTCAAGATATGAAATTAAGGGATGTAATCGAGCCGAGCCAACACGTAAAATACTCGAGACCAACACGAAATTGAATCGGGTGAGTCGAGTCAAGCTACTCGAGTATATTATCGAGTCGAGCCTGTAGAATACTGGGCTTTTGAGCTTAATCGAGTTTAGTTATATTTACACTTTTACGCTTTATTTTATTAAAATTGACATAATTGACCGAGTTGAGTCAAACTCGTGAGCTTAATCATATTTTTTATTGCAATTTTGTGTAATATTTATTTTTTATAACTAATCAAGACCAGACAAACCAAGCTCAAAAGTGTCAACTACTTTACTGAGTTTGAGCCCGAGCTTGAAATTAGGGCTTGAGTCGTGTTTTTTAATCGAGTTGAGTTTCGAGCTAGCTTGGGAGTACTCGACTCGGTTCGTGAAATATTAAGAATTAACATAATTTTGGTGATATAATATTTGTATATTTTAAATTTCTCATTAAGATTATGAGAGTTAATATTAAGTTTCATGGTCTATATTGAATAATTCTGTTCTTATATTTGAGCTTTTTGAATATTCCTTGAATGCCACCGGAACAAGAAAAACAAACTACCTATCAATGGAACTATATGTCTAGCTAGATGATGAGGAAATTCGGTCAAAAGAATCTATGCACTTTCACTTATACCAATTAGAACGTTACGAGCATACTTTTGCAAGTGTCAAGAATAATTAAGTATGCACCTTGTTTCCTTGGCTGATATGGGACACATGTCAGAGGATATGTGTTGAGATTAAAAAAGGTAATCACTTCACATTCAATCAAGTTTAACTATCATTATTCCCACTAGCTACTTAATTGGGAAACTTTAGATACTCAAAGCAAAAGTCAGTATCAAATTTGGATCACATATTTTAATCTCATAGCCAAGGAAACTATTAATGCTTACTATACATATATCCATGATTAAGTTTTTATCTTAGTTTAGATTTATAATATTAAATTAATATTCAATAAATCATAATATAATGTTAATTACTCAACAAGCGAAGAAGTTTTCTGTAAAAGGTACATGGGCTGGCAAAGATGAGAGACCAAAGATGCACACAACTTGAAGATCATATAATTCCATTGAAAAATAGTTCGTTTTTCTTATGGCGGAAGGATTTCATGAATATTATAAGGTGTTATTAAACACTATATGTGCTTCTTTACTAGGTGTCGTCCGATCTATTTTAGGTTAAGAGTTCAAATTTCGTAATTAAGTTATTAAGAGTAAATTAGATTTCTGTGTTAAAAAAAAAAAAATTTAGGGTTTTGTCGAAACATTTATATCAAGTATTTAATTAGTAGTTATACTTCACTTTCCTTTTTTATTGATTTATTGATTCAAATATTAAGATATCTCATTACGTACCTTGACGTCTGACATCGAATTCACCAGTTGATTGGTTTCTTCTTTTGATTTATTGTAGCGTTGAATCACTGATTTCATGCTGAATTGTAGACAAAATATAAAAATAAATTCTTGGTTAGCAACTACAAAGTCTTTTTTATGTCATGATATATAGAGAGAGAAATTATAGTCTCCAGGATAAAACGCTAAACTTCAATCCAAAATCATACGTACCATAACTCTGTTTCGGTCATGAAGATTAAATGAAAATGAAAAATAGTAATGAAAATGTGTATAAAGGGAAAATCATAAATATATGAAATCATTAGTAATTTAGTATCTTTAAATAGAGTTGTCCTAGGTATCATATTATTTAAACTTATAAAATCTTTCTCATGAAATAGTAACATCTTTATCTTTATGGTCAGAATGCTTATAAGATGTTCATCAGATTTTGGTTCATAAAAAGAGAAAATCAACCTGGCTGATAGATGCTGCATCTCTGGTAATTGGAGTTAAGTTGATCGATGCTTTCAAACTAGAGTAATTTCAAATCAGCCACCATATATAATATCTATCTATAATCTATCTGTATCCTTAGGAATTGGTTTAGTTGTAATAGAGATTATGGAGTTGCTAAAAAAAGATAGATTATGATATCAAAAAAAAAAATGTAGAAAATGACATTGAAATTTATGTTAAACCTTGCACTTGAGAATTCATAGAGCTTATTGGTACTGGAGAAGATGATGACTCCAACTTCAGCATCACATAAAATGGCTAACTCTTTTGCTTTCTTCAGTAACCCATTCCGTCTCTTTGAGAACGTCACTTGCCTACTGGTTGAGTTGTCTATTCTCCTGATTGCAATCTTTCCTCTACCCATCTTCCCCCTTCTGTTATATTTTGTTCTTGTTGCTAGGGTTTCGTGATGTTAACAACTATGTGAGAGAGAGAGAGAGAGAGAGAGAGAGAGAGATCTTAATGACTGGTTAAGCAAAGGTCGAAAAGCTACTTAAAGGCAATAATGAGTGGGAAAAAAGATTACTTTGTGGATTTTTATTCACGATATCAATTTATTCATATCAAATTAATAAAGATTCTTCTTTTTTGTTTAAAAAACTGAATTGTATTTATGAATTTAATTAATATATGCTGAGTGTGTGACAACCTTAAAAAGATATATTTTTTTTAGAAACAGCAAAATTATATTAAAATGAACCCCAACTAGTAAGAAACTAGAGAAGAGCAGAAACAGAAAAAGGAAAAAAGACATACAGATAATAGTGTTAAGTAAAGAAAAATACATAGGAAAACTAGGAAAATTGAAAGGAGATGATGACCACACGTTTCATTCACATAAACCACTTTTTTCTCTGCATTTGATCCAGAGATACACCAAGGATTTTATCTGCTCAGCTCTGCAAAAGGTACTGATAAATTTCAGATTAAAAGTCCGGTCATTTCTATATTTCCAGAGGCTCCATATAAGCCCGTAGCATATCATCGTGAGCCTTTTTTTCTTTTTTGAACACCGACCCCAGCTTGTAGCAAAGCATATTAGATCCCTGACATTGTGAAATGTTTGGTGCTTGATGCCACACCAGTCAAATATTTTGTCTCTTATTGCACTCGTATACGGGCATGTTACTAGGATGTGATCGGAACATTCGTCACTAGCAAAGCAAGCACCACAGCATGTCGAGTCGAGCTCCACACCCCGTGATCTTAGAGCCATCATAGAAGGGATTTTTTTTTTGTAGTGCTCTCCAAATAAAGAAGTTCACCTTGATCGGTGCGTCCCTGTGCCATATCATAGGTGGTAGTATCTAACTTGGAACAGATTTTTTGTCGATTAACCTCCGTAGTGCCCCAACCGTATAGTGACCATCTACATCAAGTCTACTTTTCCATTGATCACACCCGCTCGCCAAGTTTACCGTGGACAGTTCATTCGTTAGGTTGTCCAGATTCTCAGATAGTCCAGATTCAACAGGGCAAGAATTCCAATGACCTACAAAACTGCCGTCAATGATTCTGTCCGCTACTTTACATGTTTTCCTTGTCTCCAGGTTGAACAGGTCGGGGTATTTGTTCTTCAATTGGTCTCCATCGGTCCATTTGTCATACCAGAACTGGGTGTTGTCACCGGATCTGAGCTGTAGTTCGAACACATCCCCTATTTCCAGGTTACGCCTCTTGAGATCCTTCTTTATGGTTGCAATGTTATGCCACACGCCATTGATGTACCTGCTAGAAAAATAATCGTGAGGTTTATTGTATAAGTTGTGTATACCTTTTATCGTGCGCCCCCATAGTGAGTCCCCCTCTTTTTTCAGACGCCACCACCATTTGACTATTAGGCTGACATTCATCGCGCGTATTGATCCTACGCCAAGCCCACCATCAGATTTTGAAGCTATTACTTTATCCCATGCCACCCAGTGTATTTTCCGTTTATCTTCATCTCCGCCCCAAAGGAATCTGCGTCTAAGTTGTTCCAGAGTCTCGGTGACCGCCACCGGTGCTGTGAACAATGAGAAGTAGTAAGTGGGAAGATTGCCTAGAACGGAGGTGATCATTGTCAGTCGACCACCAAAAGAGAGGGATTTCGATTTCCATGATGATAGTTTGGAATGAAATTTGTTGATTGTTGGTTTCCAGTTTTTTATTAGATTCATGTTCGCGCCAACAGGGACACCAAGATATTTGAAGGGCAAAGATCCTGCTTCACATCCTAAAATACTGGCCCAATTTGTAATTTCTCCTTCAGTCGCCCCAATTCCAAACACTCTGGATTTGTGAAAGCTTACTTTTAAGCCAGATGAGACGTGAAAGCATCTAAGAATCCGTGCTAGATTTTTTAGATTGGATCTTGACCGTTCACCTACAAATAAAGCATCGTCTGCATAGAACAAATGTGAAAGAATAGGGCCACCGTTTGGAATTTGAACTCCTTTGAATAATCCTTTGTCTTTGGCAGCCTCTATTGCTGCGTTGAGACCTTCCATGGCTATGATGAAAAGGAATGGTGAAAGCGGGTCACCTTGACGCACACCTTTGGAAATTTTGAATTCATTCGTTGGAGACCCGTTTATAATGACAGAGGCGTGAGAGGAGTTCAGACAACCCCTAATCCAAAGACGCCATTTAGAGCCAAAGCCCATCTGTGTGAGTATGGAATCTAGATATTCCTAATTTATTGAATCAAAGGCTTTATCAAAGTCTACTTTGAATAGTAGGATCCTCTTTTTTATTTTCTTCGCCCACGAGTAGAGTTCGTTTATCACTAATGGTCCATCCAGAATGCTCCTGCCCTCTATGTAAGCTGATTGGACATCTCCAATGACTCCACCAATAACTGTTTTGAGCCTTAATGCAAGCACCTTTGAAATGATCTTGTACATGCATCCAATTAGGCTGATAGGTCGATAATCAGACAGTGAAGAGGGGTCTTTTACCTTAGGCACAAGACTGATGAAAGATGAGTTGCATCCCCGTGCTATGGTACCAAATTTGTCGAAGTGTAGGATGAAGTTCATCACGTCAGTTTTGACTGTTTCCCAGTAGGTTTTGATGAATTTAAAAGTAAATCCGTCTGGGCCAGGCGCCTTGTCACTGCCACATTCCCACACTGCAATTTTTACTTCTTCAAGTGTGAAGGGGGCTTCAAGTTTTATAGCTTCCATCATCGAAATGGATTTGATGTAAGGGCTGATGAGTTTTGGTCTAGAAACCAAAGTTTCAGTGAATTTGTTCTTAAAAAATCTAAGTGCTTCACCTTTTACTTCTTCAGCCGATGACACCCATTTACCATTCACCGATAACCTATGTATTGTGTTTCTCCTGTGTTTGTTGTTTATGTAGCCATGAAAGAATTTTGTATTCTCATCTCCCTTATGTTAGAGTATATATTTCTTGAAAAGATTCAATTTCGCACTAATGAATCTAATGCCGTTTCTTGAGTTTCAATAAAATAGACACATACCTTACCTTAGTTTATATATTATATTATATATATATATATATATATATATATATATATATATATATATATCTATATATATCAAAGTTCTAAATAACGTGAAGCGTGGCTTGGCGGCAAGGTAAAAGTTAAGCCATGACAAGCCTTGCCGAGCCATGACGTTTTTCAAGGCGTGACTATTTTATATATATTAAAAGAGATAAATCATAAAATTATTGATTTTTATCAAGTATATCAAGTTTTTAGAAGTGTTATATTAGTATTTAATATAAAAAGTTAATAAAAACTCAATTATTTTAGGCCCGAAAAAATAAATAAAAAAAAAACAAAAAAAACTCGCGCCTTGAGAAAAACTCACGCCATATCGCGATAAGGCGCGCCTTGACACGTTATTTGGACACCACGCTTAACAAACCCTTTAAAAAAAACTCACCACTTTTTTTCGTTTAAATTTTTTTTAGGCCATGTTTTTTATCAAAAAAAAAAACCGAATATACCGTTGTTCACGATTTTTCGTCCTCTTTCCATAGAGATCCATGATGATATATAAAAAAACGAACTTTTTTTTTCGAAAAAAACCTACTTCATTTTTATTTGATGAAAAAAGTTAAAGGTCTATTTTTTTATAGAAAAAAAATTAATAAATATATTAAAATTCATATTTTTTGTACTTTTTAAACATAGATTAATATTCATGTTAAAAAAAACGATATTTCAGTTCAGATTCACATTGTGAACCTGTTCAGATTTATATTGTAAACCTGTTCAGATTCACATTGTGAACCTCCTCAGATTCACAGTGTGCATAATAATAAGTCAGATTCACAGTGTGAATCTGAACTGATTGAAGCTTTTTCACATTGTGAATATTAAATTTTGAAATATTTACAATTTAGATTCACAGTGTGAATCTATACTGATTGAGGTTTTTTTTTTGTGAACCTTCTCAGATTCATAGTGTGCATAATAATAATTCAGATTCACAATGTGAATCTGAACTGTTCGAAAATTTTCATATTGTGAATGTTAAAAATTGAAATATTTACAGTTTAGATTCACAGTGTGAATCTACACTGTTCGAGGTTTTTTTTTTTTTTAATCGGTGTTGATGTTTATTAATAGAGTACAAAAAATTAATATTTTTGGTATAATTTGTTTTTTTTATAAAAATAAACTTCAATATTCAAAAAACTAAAAAAAATTAAGTGAGTTTTTTTCGAAAAAAAAAGTTCGTTTTTTATATATCATCATGGATCTCTATGGAAAGAGGACGGAAAATCGTGAACAACGATATATTCGGTTTTTTTTCGATAAAAAACTTGGTCTAAAAAAAATTTTAAATGAAAAAAAGGAAGTGTGTTGTGTTATAATCCAGTACATGTGCGTCCATTATAAAAGTTTACAACCTTTCCTTTTGCCGTTGATCGCTTTAAATTCCGACGTTTTGGATTGTTTCCTTGGTTCCTTGATTAATAATGGTTCTCTATTGAACTTTTTCCTATATATATATATATATATATATATATATATATATATATATATATATATATATATATATATATATATATATATATATATATATATATAGTAAGACATGAGGATGCAATCCTAGTCATTCATTTTGGAGATTGATCTAGGGATGGAGAGAAAGAGGAAGTCGGATCAGGCTCAGGTTTCAGGGGGGGGGGTCGAGCAAGAGGCCCAAGGTATTTGACTCGAGATTGAAAGGCCAGAAGGGCTGAAGCCGCTGTGGCAAGTACGGCAAGACGCAAGATGGGGAGTGCAAAGGTGGGTGGTTTATGACTATTTCAAGTGCGGTCGGACTGGTCATATTAGCAGGGATTGCACTGGTACTACTATCGCCACCACCCCAGTATCTGATTTGATTTTCTTCCATTGCAATCAGAGGGGCCACAAGAGGGCCCATTATCCGAGTTGGCAGTAGCAGGACCAGTGGTAG